AGTCCAAATGCCAGTAATGTCCTGTTCCAGTTATCACCAAAAAAGTAGGACATTGGGAAATGCCACTGTTAGGAGGCTGATTACGTCTGTACTGTGACTCACTGTGTCCTGATGTTTGTATCCAGACCTCTGATCTGACAAACACATTACAATGTGAGCTTATTAGCAGCAGCATGTGACCTAGCCTCCATGAGGAAAAGAAAAAAGAGACAGGGGGGCAAAAAAAAAAGAGGCCACTTGTGTGTCATTAATGGGGACAGAGTATGGAGCCCACAGCCACCTGTGAGCAGGCGAGGAGGAGCAGCTGTTGCTCATCATACAGGAGAGCTTGTTCCTTCCTGAGCTGACTGACTGGCACGTGTCCCGGGGCTCTTATGTGAGTCTGTGGTGGGCGGAGATGCTAGAGGGAAGAGGAAAACAACAGCAAGGCTTGCTAAAAATGTACTCTCGCTCCTTTAAGGTCGTACTTGGACATTCAAAAGGAAGTTGTCAGGAGGAGACATAATAAGTGTGTTGGAGATAATAATAAACACAAGAAAACCTTCTGGTGAGCATGTGTCCGGACATGTGAAAGCTCCTCACATGTGCATCAAATAATGGGCATGCTGTAAATATTTAAATTTTAGATGTGCTATTAAAGCTTCTCAGGATCTAAACTGCTGAAAAAGAGACATTATAGACTTGGATCAAATGTTGTCTTCAACTCAGAGCTGCAATTCATCATCATTAAAGAATCTGCAAATTATTTTTAGCTAAATAAAATCTAAAAATTATACAATTCCCATTGCAATTTACTTAAAGTTGAAGATATTTTGCCAGACTGACTTATGTCAGTAAGTCTTAAAACGTTTTTTTCCCCAGAAGAACCACCATAAACCCAGAAATATGCAGTTAATAAGCAAGACAAGAAAAAACAGTTACCCGTAAATAGAGAAGCAAGAACTATTAAATATCCTTCAATAATGACTTCTATGCTTAAAGGTGGGGTAGGTCATTTACTTCAGAAACACTTTTTGTTATATTCCATGGAATGCTCTTAACATCCCGATAGCAATGAATATATGAAATGCTTTGACAATAAATACATAAAAACATTTCATCTGTGGAAGCCGTGGCGCTGTAAAAAGCCCGGCTAGCCGGCCCGGCTAAAATAACTGGATGGCCTACCTGCCTGTCAGCCACAAACTTATCTCGTGCCCTCATAGAGTGGCGAAGACCCTCCCCTTCCGGTGGACCTCCATGGGACCTTATTTCGGAAAAATTATGTATTGAAGTACATTGACAATCCCCTTCCCTGACTTTGA